GTTCATCTGTCTCTCTTATGAACATCAGCAAACCAACCTTAGGCTGTGCAGAGCTATGTGGATTTTTACACTACTACAGATACTAGAGGAATGTGTGTACCATCATCTCAGTAATTAGGATGAGGTTGTATGTGGCAACACAAGTAAGGTTGGAAAAATGCAGAAGTTAATCCAAAATTACATGGAATTCATCACTGAATGCAATCACAATACTCAAATTGGCAGTCTTGTCAATGCCATTGTGGGTGTACTTATCAAGGGTGGCTTGGAGTTGTAAAACACATGAGTTAGGAAAATAAAATAAATAAATAAATTGTACTGCAGTTGCTGCCAAACACAGTGACTCTGGGGACTTCACAGGAAAAAACCTTGAGGAAAGCTGAGCTGACCAATAAAGGCACATAGGAGAAATCTGTAATTAAGGTGACCAACACTGGATGCACCATGTTGTTCATTGAACCTTAGAAAGTGGTGGTCAGTAAGGGAATATGTCAAATAAAGGAGGTTGTTGGTTTGCAGAGGGAACCTGTAGGTAACCTCAGTAGTCTGGAAAGCTACTATTATATTAGTATGTACCTGTAGGTATCTACAGGGTATCAGTGAGATAGGAATAAACCTAAGTAATAATGGTACTCACCCTCAGTAGTCTGGCAAGCTACTGAGGGACTAGGAAAATTATCTAATACTATGTGTGATGCAAGGTGATTATGTAAGCTATCAAACATGCACCAACAATGGCTGGTTGCATAATACTCCAACACTCCCCCTCAAATGGCATGGGGGAATTCTAAGGTAGAACATAATCCAATTGTATGATTCAGAAATTTGAATTCTGAGTGTGCAGTTTGTGAAGGTAACATGAAAGTTTTGATGTTGAGCATGATTGCCTGATTTGGTAAGTCACATGGTGCATGTGATAAGCATGTTGTCACTTCATTGATTGCAATGCTTGCAGGCCATCCAGATTGTCTCTGATGCATTGTTGGCAATCACTTGGCTTCATAAAGTTGATGGTAATGTTCTTGAACTTGATGGTAAGGCCATGGCATGTTCCAATGCCCTCTTGAAAATGCAGGATTGGTGATATTGCATTACTACTTCCTTGGTGGGCAGTTTTGGCCTTTCAGGTCCTACTGACATTTCTAGATTCAAATTTGACCATTCTGAGTTGATGCTTCAGTTTACTGACCTCATTGGAATGCTTTTGGTTGTTAGTGAGTGGCCCAGGTATGTCCCTTGGTTTCCACCACTGCTGCTTGTGCTGACCAGCTTGGTCTCCAGCTAGCAGTCTTGTTTCAACTTGTTTTGAGTCACAGCACATGCTGCTCATTGCACCATCCATCTGGCACCTTATCCCATCTGTCTCAACATGTCCAAATGCCTTCTGGACCTCCCCTTGACCTCCTGGCCCTCTGGGTCATCTCAATGCATTTGGATTGACATTGCATCAGTTTCTGGTGGGTCATTGGCACTCCCCCTACTTCCAGCACTTGTAGGTGGGGACTAGGCATGTTCCAATGCCTTCTTGATAGTGCTGGGTTGACTGCATCACATTACTGTGCTCCTGACATGTGTTCTTGACCTTTTGTGTTGTACTGACATTTCCAGCTTCAGATTTGATTCTTCCACATTGGTGTTTGGTTGTATGAGCATTGCAGGAACATTTTTGACAGTTTATAGGTGGACCAGGTGACACAGGTAAGTCACTGCACAAGTTCTGGTTGCAACATGTGATCTGACTATCTCCAGCCAGCATTGCTACTTTGACTCACATTGGGTTGACATCACTGCTGCTTGTTGTGTCATACTCACTGCCTCTTTGCTTGCTATTACCTCCAGCCATGTCCCCTTTGACACCTCTTGCCACATTCCCTTCATCTGGACTTGCAGGTTGCAGAAAGGTAATATCATGATTTGGGGTGCTTGGTGTCTTGAGCAGCACATTTCATGATAGGGATATGCTGGCATCTCCAATGCCAACTCACTTCCATGGTGTACTAGGGTCAGATGACTCATTTTCAGGCCATTCAGGTGAGTCTTGAGCCTCTCCCTTCATTTGACATGTTCCAATGCTCTGACTTGTGTTGCTAGCTGTCTTTGTGCCATGTGCAGTACTGACCATGTCTGTTTCATTTCTCAGCATGTTCATATGGATACCTAGACTGTCTGTTTTGTCTCCATGTGCACTGGCATCATCATCACAGGTCTGTGGTACTGCCACAACTGTTTCTTCATCATTTGACATGCTCAGAGTGTCTGTTAGGCCTCTTGGGTCCATCTGCATGGCCACTGGGCTCAGCTGTGTGCCCATTTGCAGCTGTGTTCATACTGCCACTGCTCACACAACTAACCTGCTCCCCCTTGAGCAGCACTCTTCATGCATCAGGTGCATCACTCTGCACTACTTGAATTCATTCATCCACAGTTGTTGTTTTGAGTTGTCCACATTGATGACAGACTCTGAAGATTTGTTGGTGGCATTTCATGCATTTGGTGGGTGGTATTGGCAATGCAGGTGCATTTCTCACTTGCAACCTGTCTCATTTGCCATGCTGACTTCAGCTTGCAATCAGTGACCTCTTTTTGACTCTGGGTGTATCTATGGTCTTGTTGCCCATTGCAGGGGCCCTGGCATTCATGTTCCCCTCATTGTTGGCCTCACTTTCCCTAGTTTCAGCATTTTGTCTGCTTGTCATGCAGACTGTCAGCTGTCTAGATGTCCACCTGGGTCATGAACAGTAAGTCACAGCTCATTATTGCTGCCCTGGTTGTTTGTGACATCACTGCTCACATAGTCATTCTGCTCCCCTTTGAGCAGTGTGTTGATAGCCTCTGGCATATTCTGTGTTAGGATTTTGTTAGGCTGTCCATCCTCACATTGTGAGTGTGCTCCTGTGGGCTGAACTTTGATATGGCTTGCTGCTCCAGCATTTGTGGACTTTGACATCTGGTAGCAGACCTTCATGTCTCCACCATCCTGGTTCAGGTACATAGTCTGAGTCATGATCTCCATGCTCACAGCTATGTCTGTAGCCTCCATGCCCAGACTTCCTTCTGCAACAATCTTGTCACTGACTCTTCAAGACTTGTTGCTAACCTCCAGCTCAATTGGGATTGTTTTGGAATTGTTAGGCATACTCAGGGTCTCTGCCTTGTTGGCAATTGTGTCCATGCCTGTACCATGTCTGTGGTTGTCATGGTTGATGTCTGCAGGCTTTGACTGTTCATGTGGACCATCCTTGCAGCCAGCTGGTGCCATTGGTGCATCCTTGACACTGCTGCTCATACAGACCGCCTGCTCCCCTTTGAGTGGCAATCTTCATGCACCTGGCAAGTCATTTGTCATGCTTCTGTCACATCTTTTGATTGTAGGTCCCTGTGCACCATTTTGTTGGTCTTGTCAACTCTGCTGGCATGCTTTGCTGGCTCACTGGCTAGCTTAGCCATCTTCTTGACTCCAACTGGCACCTTGACCATTCCATTTAGCACTTTTGGGTGTTCATGTTCAAGTGGCTTGCCTGCCCTCAACCTCAGCTGCTCCAGCAGCTTATTCTGTGCCATGCATGACTCACTTGGCACTTCAGGTTTGTGGTCTTTGACCTCAGTGCTTCATGATGGAACCCACTGGGCTGCTCCAGCTGTGGCCTCAGCTTTATCATTGCTTCTTGCCTTGATAAGTCCATCCTCAAGCCTCTCCATCCTAGGTAGCTCCATTGATGACTCATTTGGCTTCATGCATGACACTCTTGGTTCATCTTGCATGTTGTCACCACTGGCATGTGCTTCAAATGCACTGCCATTCTTCTGTTTGGGTGGATCTTTGGTACTTGGCAACTCATCTTCTGCCACATCACCACTTGAAGCTTTGACAGGCTTCTTGGTGGGTAAGGGAATTCAGGTAGAGTCTTGGAATGTTGTTGCTAGGTAGTTGAACATCTCATGAGCCATTTCAAAGTGTTGGATGTGCAAAAAAAGTGAATTGGGGATGTTCCACATGAGTATGAACTGTGCACTGCTGTTCTGTTGCAGCTATTCATTTAACTCATTTCCAGCAGCCTTTGGCTTTTGCTCCACACCAGCTAAGTGTCCAATGACATTTTGTATTCTGGCAACTTTGAGAATTTGTTTGCAGTATTCCTTCCAATTCTGTCCATTTGTTTTGAGCTCTGGGATATAGACAAATCCCTCCTTTGTAAAGTACCTCTTCACTTCCATTTCTTCTCTCCAGGTTCTGGCACTAGGCAGGGCTCATAACCTAAAGGAGGTTGTTGGTTTGCAGAGGGAACCTGTAGGTAACCTCAATAGTCTGGCAAGCTACTGAGGGACTAGGAAAATTATCTAGTACTATGCACTGGAGGCATTATCCAATATTTGAGCTACAAACAGTAAAAGAACATGAAAGAAAGAGATACTATGTTTAAGAAGATTAAATATTTTTACCATGTTCTCTTTGTGTTTTGAAACATAGTATCTGCTTTTTCAATGTTTTATTTACTAAACATTGGTTTTTGCCCCCAGTGATGTGCGATGCAAGGTGATTATGTAAGCTAGCAAACACATGCCAACAATGGCCAGTTGCATAATACTCCAACATCAAATGCTCAACAAACCTCATTATCAACACCATCCCTCAAGAGTGCAGCTCCTTTGATCAATGCCAGTGATTGTGATTGATTCTCTGCCTTGGTACAATGGGCTCTGATGTCATAGAATTGCATCAGAACTAATGGACTGAAAATACTGGCCAGACCAGGGATTGAACATGGGCTCTCCCCATAGTGCTGGGGGTGTGCTACCACTACACTGCCTGGCCTTTCCCTCAGGTCATAGTGCAGATTCCAAAACCAACACTCCCCCTGAAGCTGCACTTGACCTGCCTCTCCACTAGCATAGAACCATCCCATAGGCCCATCTAGTCTTGTGGTGTTCCTCATGCACTCCAGTTGAGGGGACCAGTCTACAGCACCATCAGGGCTCATAACCTAATGGACTGAAAATACTGGCCAGACCAGGGATTGAACCTGGGTTCTCCCAATAACACTGGGGGTGTGCTACCACTACACCACCCAGTGTTTCCCTCATGTCATAGTGCAAATTCCAAATCCAACAAAGACTTCACAAGCTTTTGCCTTGATTATTGACTGCCAAGTCATCAAGGATTCCCAAATCTCAAATCTTGTCAGCATGATTACAAAATGCTGTAGAAACTACCTACCAGAATACCTAGTTGACTGCATGTCTGAATATTAGTTGTCACTTGTCAAACTTACAAGACATATATTTGACATATGATTGACTGATGCTTATTTAGTTTTTGATATATTGTCTCTAGCTACAGATATAGGCTCACAGTCATAGTCTGTAGCTACACTGCATTTGCACCTGGTTCACACCTGTCTGTCACTGTGATCCTCAGCCTGTGAAATCTGACACTGCAGTACTTGGGCCAGTATCCTGTGGAGTTCATTAAGTAGATATCAGCTCAAAGACAAAGGTCTTACCTGCAGGGGTATCCATACACTCAACAAGCACTTTGTTGAAACATTCTACACTTAATGTGTTGAAGAAGATGGAGTGAGGGAGAAATGGATTCTTCATCACAGAATTGCATTGCACAAGCCACTTAGCCCATTCAATGACTTTGCAGATTTTGTTTGGATAAGAGCAAAGTTTTGTCAGTGTCAGGGCCATGCTTTGCTCACATGATTCCCATGCTCTTGCACCACCTCTGACACCCTGGTCTGCCTCATAGACTCCTCCCAACTCATCCCTGATGAGGTCTGATGCTTAGTAAGCCTGTAGGTCACTCAGCTGACCAGTGTGCATGTTCCACACTGTTGGCCACTGTTGGACTTGCCACATGACCAGTTTCAGCTCTTGTTAGGCCAATGCCATCTAGGTCATATGACCCCAGGGTCAAGGTGCCTGCATAGCATGTTGTCCCAAAGAGTCACACATTATTTCTAGGTTTTGGCTTCACTACTGATTGGCTGTTGGTGGGTGCTCTGCTCTGAGTACATGATTGACTTTCTGTTTATAGATAGTATCTTTGTTCCCTTCTGTTCCATGCTGTCAGTATATCTCTCTGTGCTGAAGTTTTCTGACACCCACTCTCCTGGAAAACTTTGATACCTCCATATGTTAATTCTGACTTTCTGATACTGTACTGCCCATGGCCTATAACTATCTTGAATATATCTGTAAGCTACCTCAGTAGACTGTGAGCTACTGAGTAGAATAATGTACCTGTAGGCTACTACAGGATATCAGTAAGTAACATACTGAGAAATATATAGGTGCTTACTCTCAGTAGACTGTGAGCTGCTGAGGGAACTCTATGAAATGTCCTGCTAAGTCTGCTCTAAGGTGATTATGTAAGCACCCAAACATTGCACCTAGGACCTGCAATACAGGGGAGATTTATGTGCTCCAACACACCCCCTTAAACTCCACTGTATGATCAGGTAGGGGTGAAGGGTATAGAACTCAAAAGAAATAATATACCAAATATTCAAATAGAATTGAGTATAATTGCTGCAAAGGCAGCCTTGAGTCCAATATGATTTGCAAGCATTGTATGGTCATGTTTGCCATGCTGCATTATGGCAACTGCCATTTTGGGAATACATGTGGTATGCACATGTCCTCTGGCCTTGTACCATTGTCACAAGGCTGCTGTTGCAATTGATGAAGGTTTGTTGATGTTGTGCATCCATCTGGGAGGCACCCCCTGCCACCAGAAGGTGTTAGCAATTTTCCAGAGGAGTTTTGAGATCTTGTGAGGTGGCAAAATGAGGATGGTGAGTCCCAGATTGGTGTAACCTCTCATTTGGATAGTACTGACATTTCTAGATCTTGTCTTGATCCTGCCATGTTGGTGTGGGTCCCTGAGGGTCCCAGGAGGGTTTGTGAGGGTGTCAGGAGGTGGTTCAGGTGATGCAGGTAAGTCATTTGTCCATTTCATCTCTCATTTGCCCTGCTGACCTCTGCTACCAGCTAGCATTGTTTTTCTGATTCTATTGGAGTTGGTGAACTTGCTGCTAACTGTATTGTCATACCTACCACCCCTCTCCTCCTTATTAGGCTCCTTTGGGTGCACCTTTGAGCATGGTAGGTTTCCTTGCATTTCAACCATGCTGGTACTAATAGCCCTTATCCCCAGCTTCATCATCTTCAATTCAACATCAGCACTATACTGGGGTCCTCCCACAATGAAAGTAATTTGTTTTGTGGATACTGAGAAGAGTTGAGGTGGCCACATGGGGGCCACATGTACAGTGAGTGAAAAAATGTGTGCAATGTTTGGCTGTTTTGTACTAAGTCCAGTGTAGCACCATAAGGTGCAGGAATCCTGCTTAGCATTGGTGAGATGGATTGTAGTATTTCCTCTTGGCTACAAAATGGTCCCAGGATCATGTGATTTGGTGCAGTAGTCATTGAGATATGTCAATTATAAAACAGGTACATCATTGCACATGTTTATTCACTTTTGAAAAGTGAGGGGTATTTAAGGGATATCAGTACTTGGTATAGCCTCCTTTTGCTTTAAGCACTGCCTCAACCCTCCTAGGCATGCTCTCAATCAACTTCTGACACTCTTCAGCTGGTATATTGTTCCAATCCACCTGAGTCCTCTCCCACAACTCCAATATCCCCCTGGGTGGGTGTTCATACTCTGCAAGCCTCTTCTTGAGGTAACCCCAGGCATGTTCTATAGGGTTAAGGTCAGGAGACTGTGCAGGCCATACCATGGTCCTAAAATCCTCCTCTTCTAGCCATTCCTTGACCTGCTTGCAGGTATGCTTGGGGTCATTGTCCTGCTGGAAGATGATGTCAGGAGGATGGAGACCATAATATTCAAGGGACTCTTGTAGTTCATCCTTCAAAATTTGAAGGTAGAGGTCCCCATCCATCCTATCATCAATCTTGGTAGTATATCCAACACCCTCCCAAGTCATACAGCCCCACATCATCAGAGAACCTCCTCCAAACTTCAGTGTCCCCTCTACTAGCCTATCATTCAGCTTCTCCCCTAGCTTTTTCCATGCCCATCTGACCCCAGGCAATTGATTTTAGTCTCATCAGACCATACCACCCTCTTCCAGTCCTCCAAAGTCCAATCTTTGTGAGTATAGGCAAAGTCTAACCTTGCCTTGTAATGCTTGGCAGAGAGGATAGGTCATTTTCTCTTTACCACAGCCTTCATACCAGTCTTTTTCAAGTGCTGGCAGACAGTATTTGGGTGAAGGGGTTGGTTGATAATGTTGGAAAGAGTTTTGGTCACCTGCACAGCATTTTTTGCCTTCTGAGTTGAGATGAGGTGGATGGCATGGTGGACATTAGCAGGGGAGAGCTTGGATGGATGACCTCCACTGGACTTTTGCAGGCTGGAATGCTCCTTGGAATGAAGCCTAGAGATGGTAGAGCAATGTAGGCCAGTACTAGGGGCAATAGAGGCAGGAGAATGACCAGAATCAAGCATAGTCAGGATAGTATTCCTTTGGGTGGCAGAGAGAGACCTCATGGTGGTAAAGGTTGGGAATAAAGAAGCATGTGAACATATTCAAACTCAGACATAATGTTTATGTGTGTATCTTTGCTTGTAGGACCAAACAGCCACAATTATTCCTTCATTTCACCCAGATTCTACTGCCAGGCCAAAAGTGAATAAATGTGTGCAATGATGCACCTGTTTTATAACACATGGGAAATTTCAACATTTTGATCTGTGCAGAATATAATTCTAAATGTAAATGCAGAATGTTTGCCCAAATATATCATTATGTGGACAATTGAGACATCCTCAAAATGGAAAAGAAAATTATATATTTTGCTATTGTCTAAATATTTGATAGTAAATTATATTCTGTGGGAAATTTGAACCCTGACAAAAAATTATATTTTGATGGCTTGTGATTGGTCAAATATAATATTGTGCCCAGTTACAGCAATCAAAATATAATTTTTTGTCAGAGTTCAAATTTCTCACAGAATATAATTTACTGTCAAACATTTAGACAATAGCAAAATATATAATTTTCTTTTCCATTTTGAGGATGTCTTAATTGTTCACATAATGATATATTTGGGCAAACATTCTGCATTTACCTTTAGAATTATATTCTGCTTGGATCAAAATATTGAAATTCCTCATGTGTAATGGACATATCTCAATGGCTACTGCACCAAATCACATGATCCTGGGACCATTTTGTAGCCAAGAGTAAATACTACAATCCATCTCACCAAGGCTAAGCAGGATTCCCATGCCTTATGGTGCTACACCAGACTTGGTACAAAACAGCCAAACATTGCACACATTTTTTCACTCACTGTATACAGTAGGTGTTTTGCCTTGTCTGAGCACTGCTGACACTTTCAGTGGTCCATTTGATTCTTCCATGTTGATGGGGATTCCTGGATGTCCTAGGAACATGCTCAGTACCATTTGGATGTGGTGCAGGTGGTGTGGGTGAGGACAACAGTCTTTTTTCTTCACACTCACTGTGCTGACCTCCACTGTCAGCTAGCAGCACTTTCTTGACTCCATGTGAGTTGATGTGTCCACTGCTAGGTGCATCATCATGCCTATCACCACCCTCCACCTTGTCTGGCTCTGTTGAAGCCACTTCCAACACTGGTAAGGAGAATTTTGTGCTCATAGCACTATGGGTTCAAGTTGGTGTGTGATTCCCTAATATGGGATGTTTGCTTTGCATGTCAGGCAGATCAGGTATGTCAAGGATCATCTTGTGCTTCATCCAGGCATGCTGATTATGTTTGAGATGTGTTTGTAGTATGCATTCAATAGGATGTCCACTGGTTCATCCAACAGTACTGTCCATGGGGTCAAGAGCCTTAGAGTGCAGCTCAGGTAAGTCTCTGCTCCCTGCAACCTCATCACTTGCACACTTACTACCCTTGTCAGGTGATTGGGTACATTTGTGCACTCATCTGACCATTCTGCATCCACAGTGCCAACCTCAATCACCATTAGGTGACTCTCCACCTGCTGCACATCTGCAATCTCAGCCTCAGGCTCCTCATGCCCATCTGTGATCTCAGTGCAGCC